CATACTTTGTTAATACACCCAAGTCCGGAAACGCTTTGTTTACATGCTAGGATCTCTGAAATGTGAAGGAAGATGTCTGTAGCAAGCAACCCATAGGATTCCGAAGTAGCAGAAGATGTCACTTCATAGGACGAGTTTTTTATTTTCCAATGCAAATGCATCAGATGTCATGTGATACAGCCCCTGACCATACTTAAGAGTTTGTTTAGTAGTTTCTTCCTCATTTGTATGGCAGTCATAAATTGGGAATGAACTGTGGCAGACATCAACACAAATGCAGACTACACAGAGAAACTTCTCATCTATGGGGAAGCCCGAAGGGATGCAAGAGAGGCTTGCTGGCCGTATCAGCAACCTTTCCCAAACAAGTGTCATCCAGCTCACACTATGTTCCCAGGATTGGAAAGGCGCTTGCATGAGACAGACAGCTTGAATAGTAACGAACCCCCCTGTGGATGTCTGCGAAGGCACCGTACACCAGACTTTGAAGAAGCGGTAATCCAGCGCTCTGAAGAGCAGCCTGATGCTAGTATCTGAAGCACTGTATACCCTCTGGGTGTAAACTACATGTCAGTATGGCATCTTCACCCCTACCACTTCCAGAAGGTGCAGGTGATGGGACCGAATGATTTCGCTCCTTGCGTCAAATTTTTACAATGGCTGCTCAGACAGAATGTACAGGTACCTCACTTCCTACGCTTTGCCTTCTTTTCTGATGAGTGTACCTTTACCAAGGACAGCATTTTCAACTCCAGAGACAGCCATGAAAGCTCAAGAAATTCCTAACACGAAGGATATCCAAAGACACCAGCACTGCTTCGCTGTCAGTGTGTGGGCAAGGATTATTCATGACCATCTTTGGCCCTTACCTCTTACCTCTGCGGCTTACTGGTGACATTTACCCAATGTTTCTCCAAGAGACCTTACCCGAGCTGCTGGAAGTGGTGCCTTTGGAAGTCCATCATGAAATGTGGTTCCAGCATAATGGCGCCCTGGCACACTGCACTGATGTCGTCCGTGAGTATTTGGACGAAACCTTTGGTGGATTGGATGTGGAGGCCCAATAACTTGGCCTCCTTCCTCAGCTGATTTGACTCCATTGGTTTTCTTTCTCTGGGGGTACATGCAAAGCCTGGTGCAATGAGACTCCAGTGGAAACACAACATGCTCTTGTGGCAAGAATTGCAGTAGCAGCTGGAACCATCCGGGAAATGCCAGAAATCTTTCAAAGAGTTCAGCATAACATAGCCAGGCAGTGTATAACATGCAGTTATGTCAGAGGCAGTCATTATGAGCAATTTTTTAATGTAAAACAAAGAGAACATCCCCTAAAACTTATGCTTCCTGTCAGAAACTTTTGTGACCCTTAGTGCCAAAAAGAAGTGTTTCTGGACATTGGTGTATTAAAATACAGATTGAACCCATCTATCTACCACAGAGAATTGTAACATATATTTATTTACACTCTGTATAACATCTGATTTGTGGTATGTGGTGAGATGACTGTTTTTCAGGTGTAATGGATAAAATTTAGTACAAATTTCCAATTCAGAGGCATGCTTAAGTCAAGGTTGGACTTTGAAGTGCACACACACTTAGTTTAGGTATGTCTTGGTATCTGTACTTCTGCTGCTGTCATATGTCCACATATTGTATGTTTTGATCTCAGTAATATCCTTAAAGGGGTTACTCTTTTCTCTTCTTTATTCACTTGGTCTTGTGTTTTTAGTAATTCTAAGGAATCTCATTTCTATATATTAAGTTCAGATAGTGAAATAATTTGTATGTATCATATAGCTTCTTTATTCTTCCCGTTACTTCTTCATAATTGATTGTGCTATGATCTGTTCAGGTGGCAAGGCTATACAGAACACCCAGTTCCAACACATCATGAAATCCAGCAGTGTCTAGTTAACATTGGTGACAAACCATCATCCTTTGTTGGTTCACGCCAGTGGATAGGTTCTACAGAAGTGAGCTTCTGCCTGGAGTCTATGCTGGGAGTTACTTCAAAGATACTGTCTGTCAGCTCTGGTGAGGAGCTTAGTAATGTGGGTGGTGAGCTGGCTTACCACTTCAGGATTGAGGGCACTCCTGTCATGATTGGTAGGAAACATCATCATATATACTGTTGAACTAGTTCATCTTAATATTCAGATACAGAACTGCCTTGTAGATTTAGATTAAATTTGGTGTGGGTGATATGTAGTAAAGTGATTCTGAATTTCACTTCAATTCATACTTTTCAGTTGTATTCCCTATATTACACATTTTGATAAATTAATTTTTTCCTCCCAGGTTGATTACATTGCAGTACATCATTATCCAGGGGGTTATGTTCTTGAAAAACAATGCTTGGCAAGACAAAAGCCGTATGGAAATGGGGTTTATGGAACTGGAGTCACTGTTAACATTTGTCAGCGCTGAAGTTGCTTTTTCTTTCACTAAACACAGCAAACATTCTTAACATATTTAGAGACCAGATGCATGAAGATGGTAACATAGAAACATGCCACGTACAGATTCACTACATGTTAATCTGGAAGCTAGAAAACTGGTTTCAGATGCCATTTCTCCTGGTTTCCAGAAATTAGAAGCTCTTGATGCACAAACCATTTCTTTATAAGTACAGAAATTTAAAACTGCTGATCCCTAAACCCAAATACTAAGGCTGGCAAAACTGTATACAAATGTAAAACAGGATACCTGAAACAACTTGTGATTGGCAAGGGATTGTTATGAGCTAAATCTCTTAAATTGTTGATGTTGTTCAGATCACTCATCTGTATCCAGCATGTATTCTGAAACTATCCTCAGGTGATAAAGCCAAAACACTATGCTGTCAATGTTTCATTGTGTAAGTGCTATAGTAATCACAATTTTTAAAAATGCAACAAAATTCAGTGAACTTTATCTGTCAGTAGAATATCTAGTAGCTGGCACTAGAAGGGTTAGAATCATCAGTTAAAAAGAAATACTTTAAACAGAACCGATGGTTCATAATAAGATGCATATTTTATATTGTGTGTATTTTTAATATTCCGTGGATGAATTCAGACTCTTTTAAATAATCGTTTAAAAAACAGGTATTCACTGTCTTGTTTCTTGCTTCCCATTTAACCATTGTTGTGCGAATGTGTAACAATCTTATGCCTGAACATTGGACATCACTTGCAACTATCTTTGGACCCTTTCACTGTTTGGTTACTTCTATGGCTGCCCTTCCTTTCCCCTTTCTGCTCACCTTTGCCATGATCCTGGACACCACTGAAGTTACACTGCACTCCTTCCCTGTCAGGGACTTTTTCATCTTCGATTACTAAGATGTCTCACAAGTAGGGAAAAGTTGGGAGTAACTGGGTTCTGCTCAGTAATGGGAGAGATGAGTTCTTATCTAGGGTCATACGGGCCTAGCTCAGGCAGGGCAGGAAGATCCTTATGTTACAGTCACGTACACCACTTAAAGACTGCACTTTAATTTATTATTTATTAACTCTTGGTAACACTGAACTTAACAGAAACTCACTTTGCTTACTCTTATGTGAATTTGAACGTTGTACTCCAGAAATTGTACTTAACGTAGTAACGTAGTTTTTGCTTCTGAATTGGCATGGGATGGGGCTCAGGCACTCCCTCTTCTAAGTTATCATTGTTCTAAGTTGTCAGTTCTTGAATTCTCAAAGGCCTGCCGACTGCACTGAAACTACCAGAATTTCAGGAAATATATCAGATGTTACTTTCTTCCCACATAGCGAAACTTGAACTATATCACTTCTGAGTCTAAGAAGGTGGCTATCTGCTGGGTCTTTGTTTAAAATTATGTGACCTTAATAAAGTCTTACTTAATATGAAATATTCTGGTCAATTATAATGAACGGTTACAAATATCAGGTCAGACTCGAGACAGATGAAACAGTATATAGTTGATGCAGACATATCTCGCTTTTAACATTTTTCAGTTATTCCTGGTGTTTATGCCAATGGCACTTTTTCACTGTCATTATATGTCCTTAATTCTTTTGCCACCCATTGATTTGCAAGAAAATGGAAGGTCAGTAGAGCCATGGTGCAAATTTAGAAGGTCACTCCATGTGTAGCAGTATGCCACTTAAATTTCCACACATGGAATTAATTTTTGGTATAACATGAGGCCAAAAGACATACATTCAATTATATTACTGAGTAACACAGTAGGATAGCGGCCTCCATAGTCTAGAGCAGCGATGGCCAACTGGCGGCCCGCGGGCCATATCCGGCCCGCGACTTGATTTACTCCGGCCCCCCGCCAAGTCTCAGGTTTATTTTAAAAAATTTTAACTTCACAGCTGTATTGGCATAGAATTCAGTTTTTAATAGGACGTTTCATTAGCTTACAGCATTTTTCAATTGACTGTATACATTCTTACCGAGTTGGACAGTTCAAACTGTTTTCTAATAACTGTGTTCATGTCATGGAAATTCCAAGTCACCAAACCCAACTTCTGTAGGGAGATGACACTGAAGGGAAGACCGTAGTGGCGAAGGATTTATGACACCTTCAAAATAATAACCATTCCCAGCTTGCTCGCAGGGATGGGATGTTTACTGTTTCTCTCGGCATCCTGGCCTTTGTTAAGTGCCAGTTTTAGCAGAAATGTCTCCCAGTTAGTGCGATTTTAGAAAGTGAAGTGTGATTACAGAGTGTGAGTGTAGAACTGTTTTTCAATTAAAATTGTGTTTGAAA